TTTTATTTAGAAACGGCGGGTCACTCCATCTCCATGGAGCGGAGTCCTTGAGAAGCTGAGAGTCGCTGAAATACTCACCGCATTCAGTATAAACAGAAGATTTATTACCGTGTTCAAAATAACTTACCATTCGAGCCTATATTGAGCCAGTTGAATCCAATCCATCACTTATCATCTACTTTAATATTATTAAAAATCTATGGCTATTTCTCCCAAGGATCTGTTACTTTGCAGTTTTGTGAACAAAAAGTTGCATGATTTTCTCATGTCTCCCAATTTTCTATACAACATATATCCCACCTATGTTTATCTGTTCGATGTGATTATCCTAGAAACATTAGATGAAACATACAAATTATGAAGTCTCTTGTAACATTCATCCTTAAGACTTCTTTATTCTAGGACCGGAACTTCTACTGGACACTTCGTTCTCAAACGCCGTCATTATTAGATCTGAGAGTTAACAGTTTAGTAACATTCATCAAAGGTCTGTTTATATATGAGACAAACTCCGTCTTAAGTGCAACAAGTCTATTTATAGTTTGACAAATGAAAGAAGCTTTCAGTTGCTGTTCAGCATAGGAATCATTTATATCCCTATAAGTGTAAAGTTATATTTCTGTGAAACTTGGGCCATTTCATAACACTGATACGTATTTCGTAGCAACAGTATGGGACAACGGTAAATACTGTTGCTATTTCCTCGTACGTACATACATACACATAGATCTAAACAGTTTGTCATCTAGTGCCGAAGTTAAGAACGGTGGAGCTAGAACTCCACCCCTATAAGTTTCATGGAATAGTGTTTAACTGATTAATTTACCTTTATAAACATTGAATAAACTTTTATTTTCTTCCACTAATATGTTAATGATTTAAATATGTGCTGGAATATCAAACTGAATAATTGTACTAGTCCGATAAATTTTCTCGAATTTAAGGATTTCAAAATTGAAAGCACAAATTATGATATCCAAAGTTGCAAACAGTTTTAAAACATTTCGTTATTCATATTACTCAAGGAAAATCGAGGGAGCCAGTGTAACGTAACACTTCAGATTTGCATTCAGGAGACAGTCAATACAAATTTCGACCATACTCGGTATTTCAGATTATCTTGAAAGGTTGTCATGTTTTTCTCAACTCCCGCAACAAAGTCCAAGACTATGAGCCTTTCTTAGGCTCAAGCGGTTAGTCGCTGGCTTCCCATCGCGGCGACCCTGGTTCGATCCCGGGTCTGGTCAAGTGGGATTTGTGGTGGGCAAGGTGGCGCTGGGACAGGTTTACTCCGAGTACTTCGATTTCCCCTGCCAGTCTTCATTCCACAAAATTCCCCATCACCCGAGGCAAGTACAATAGGCCAATTAGTGGCCGCCGTGCCGAGTGGACCCAGCTGGACTCCACCCCCCAGTAGTGAATTAAAAAAAATACTTTTGACGAGTTAAGAAGTAAGTACCACTTTTTATCTTCATATTAAAATAACAGTCTTTCAGTCTGATCGCTCATATAGAGATACACACACAAAGGTGTGTGTTTATCATATTATTTTTCCTGTATAAAAATCCTTATGTCTTCATGGAGTAGATTCCATTGTTTTAGCTTAGAATCAAGAAATTCTTAATGTTGCTTTGATGACTTTGTTCATGTACTACGTAGGTCATTAATCTCTCATTTTGTTTAATTAGCTGTTGTTTTTGGTATTCGTGTGGAATTCATCCTGGATCGGAAGACACTAAAGAGTCTTTCATATAGTCCGCTCTTCTTCTTCGAGAACAGAATATTCCTTCCAATTTGTTGATGGCATTGAAAGGAAAATCTTCGCGATGCGGCACTTGCTTCGCTGCACAGGAAGAGTTCCGTTACACCATTTCACTTACGGGTCTTTATGACGTCACGCGACACGTTGATTCTGCTAAATATAATAAATTATTGAATTATGCCAATAGATAAATCGGTTTATTACACGTTTTACAATTTTTAATTTTCACACTTTCTTTGAAAATCTTTTAACTGTGTGACCAAAAGTGAATTAATTTTGATTACATGTTCAGTAATATAGCGCAATATATTTATGATTATACAATACTCATACACCTGATGATGGTCAATCAGGACCGAAACCTGTATTGTTTAATATAATAAACTGACTGATGTTTTGGCATAATTCAGCAGCTTATTATGTTGTTAAGATTTATATGTTTGGCTAGTGGCGAGAAATGGATTGGTGAATGGTTGTATTGACCACTTGTATACACCACTCGGAACTACAATTAATTACAGCGACATCACTAATCTCCACACTTTACCTGCTAAATCTTCGGTAGCCCACAGCGTCTTCGCCGTTGCCTAGAAACAGCAGTTGTACTCGTACATTCGCCTGTTGCGTAGGAAGGCTGTATATGCTACAATATCAACGTGTTGTGTGACGGAATAAAAGCCCCTAAATCTATGTATAAAACAGGATGCGTAACATAAAAATGAACTCTATTTAACCTTCGCAGGTCGAAAAGTGCGAAATGTTAGTAGGATAAAAATAGCAGTGTTCAGATTGCATGATGTATTCACGCCACGTAATGGCAAATGCAGACGTCATGCTTTTCTTCTTTCCTTTCAACTATTAAATGAAATTTTACATATCACGACGTGCAACCTGCACGAGGTGTCCGAATTTGTCTTCACCCTCCAAATGGCAACCATATAAAAGATAACAGATTTGTTTTAGCCTCCTGCTAGGCCGACGTTGTGAGCTTACTCTCAGCTCTCCACAGGAATAACAAAATTCGTGTTGCGAATTCACATGGCCACAATCGTGTCGCTTCTCAACATTAATTTTTTTCATACATAATTGTACACAATCTGCAGAATCTGCAATAAATATATATGTTCAATAAGTACTGGCTCGTGAATGAGTTATACCCAGTGGCGTAACTCATGTAATCTTTATTTTGTTCACTTAGGTATCATTTTAATTCTTGTATTAGGGTTTTACTCAGATCTGTCTGGTAGAGTTAGGACGGTGTATCTTCATTTTATGTGAGGTTTCGCTATTGTCTAATAGACTCACTGCTAGTGCATTCGTGTGGTTTTCTAATTTTCTGAAGTGTCTGGTATTCCACTTTATATTTCACTTAGCACTGTTTTAATTTGTAGATCTTCATGGATCCTGTGCCTGTTTATGTACCAAGGTGCGTTCAGAATGGATAGGAGAGTCTTGGATTGAATCCACATTAATTGCATGAAGAAAATTTTATTTAAAGTGGAACAAAGACAATGGAACGTACAGTCGAACTCAGTTATGACTGGCACCTAACATGCCCACTCTCGTGATGTTACGCAGGCCCTACCTTCAAGTTCTGATAACATTGACCAGGCGATACTCGTCTTTTAAGCATAGACCTCACCTACATTTGAAATGTGGTCACAATAGTCTTCTTGTAAATTATGATGAAGCAAACCTTTTGTGCCGAAATTTTGAATTAATGTGTCAGAATTAACTTAAAATATTAGCGCTTCTATACTTTACTATAAACGACTTATGTAATCAGTAATGTGTCGGAAATTACGTCATAACTATATATCACGAAAATTGATAAGAGGTTACTTGATTTATATAGTGATGTCATTGAGGAAAACTGCGTTTTACGTGAAATCACCCAATGGAGAGATGTTATCGTTACGTGCCAGTGACCGCGTACTCTTAGGGAAAGTCGAATGTGATTATTGGGCATTCTCAGGTTTTATATATATATATATACATAAGTATTATTTTTTGCGCTTCATACTACGATGTATAGCGAGTGAAAATTACTGGAAACATTTACTTTTCGTATACATTTCCGAATATGTCTAACAAAAAGTGTGGACTATTGAAAGTACGAGTAAATTCAGTATATTTTGAAATCACCTATTTTTCACGGTACTTTTGTTCGATTTCTTTGGAATGAAATAAATACTCGTAATTAATTAAACAGAGAACACTTGTAACCAATCTCTTTCAGTGTTATAGAGATCCGCTGGACAGTTGTGGTTCGATTCCAGGCTTACTGACAATACTTTCGGGCCTCTAAATGGTGTTGTTATAGATCATTAAAAACAATCTGAATAATTATTGCAAACTTTAATATTTAACCATAGACACTGCCTAAGGAGTCAGTTAACACATATCCATCACGCTTTCTTCAGGTTCTCTGAAGCTGTGCCCTGTGAGATGCACCTCCTGTGTCGTGGCTGGGGAATGTAAGGACACAAAATCTCTTGAACGTGACAACCATTCCTATAGAATGTGTTCGAGAACAGAACAACTGACGAGGAAGATCATGCCTTCACATGCTTTTACAGTATGAATTGCATTTCGATGTTTAATATTGTCGCGTGACAAATAAATTCACTCTCGGCTTTGGCGAATATGTTTACTGAACGCTCACTTTTACACTGGCGAGTACAAGTATTATCACTTTCAGTACGACAGTTACTGCTTCTACTATAGTCAAAGCCAAACTGAACTGTTCTTGGCAACATCAAGAACTCAACTGTCAATTCAACTCAATTTAAAAGTCTGATCAAAGTCAAAGTCAAAGTCACATTGCGACTGACGGTCAGTCAGTCAGTAAGTCTTGGTGTTGATCCCCATCTGGGGCTTATGACCAGATATTTGTTACTGTTTGACAGTTACGGTCTTCTTTTATTTTTGTGGGTGCCCTCTCTGACGAGAGGACGGGTCTATCTTTTATATATGCTGCTGGCCCTTGCCAGCGCAGTCCTTCTCGGTTCCGAGTCCCTTGGTACTCGAGACCATATTTTACTGTCTCAAATTTGAGACTTCCCTTTTCATCGTCTCCTACGGCTCACAGGGTCACGATGGATGCATTCTACCTCGCCTCAGCATGGGTGTATACTTTCATTATGTACGAAAATCCCACCAATCAAGTTCCTGGATGGCAGGAACCGTGAATTAAAGATAAGTTTTCTCCAAATTCTTTCTGAATCGCCAATTTTCTTTCATCGAGTTCTCCCTCATTCAGTGTTGCATATCACCAGCTGCCAATAGAGCATAGCAATCTGAAGCGGTCGGTATTCAGAACAGTTATCACGTGACTTAGATTATCGCGGAGAAGATTTGGGGATACAATGGAGAGGCTATTTCTTGCACTGACCACAAAAAATTTAATAAGAGTAGTGACTTTATATAAAACAGATACAAAGGTCCCGAGTATTTCTGTTCATTACTCAGATTTGAATAATTTTGATGCTTTGATGCTCTCCTTATTCGTTATACAGCGAAGTAAAATGGCGACCAGCTTTCTGAAGGCAAGACGTGATATTAAATAAGAAGTTACAGCGATTAGTATCAGAAAAATTTGAACATCTAGCAGCAAATACTGGTACCAGTACAGATCTACAGCCGCAGAGCGCAAATGTGGAGCACCTTTGTGTCTGATGACGTATTCCGTCCAAAAAACTGCGGTCTCCATCGCAGTCTGGGGACGATCTCTGAATATCTGCGACAACCTCTTGGCATTCTCTTGGTACCTAAACATTCATATGCGATTATATAACATAAGTTTACATTTGTATAAAATATGAGACTTCGAAAACATAAGTACAAAAAGTAACAAAGGGTCAGACTTCCTCATGGCTTTCACAAATTTAGTTTTATTATTACAGTTTATTCTTATAGCATTTTGCCTGCTAGAATATTTAAAGGAAATCAATTAGTATGCTTGAAAACTGTTCGGTGTCACTTCCAGAGTATTTGTGAAACACGTGATATCAAATTTTTTCGTTTCCATGAAATAACTTGAATTGTATTTTCCCCAATCTGAAAATAAATGCACAGAATTACAGCTAACTCAACTGGCTAGAAAGTTTCATTATCTAACTTAAGTATATCCATACTTTTCATTATGTATTTAGACCTGCAGAAAGATTGAGGTGGCTGCATAGAATGCCTTAAGAAAGATAATTAAATGCATGTGTTTATGGAAATAGCATTGTACAAAGCTACAGAAAACGGATAATTTTTAAACGTTTTAAATAAAATTATAACTGATCTGAAATATGCAAAAAAGGAAAGGATGCATATCACTTGAATATATGCCAGAAAAGAACGTATCTAATATTAAATTCTGTGGTTATATAGTTTTCTAGACTTCGCACTCTTCCGCATTATTTTTAGTATATGCCTAACACAAAGTAAACTGCACCCAAAACCCTCGTCTTATGTGACTGAAAAAAAGTGGCCATCAGAAAAATGTAGTGTCCGGCTGAAAGGTATCCAAAATAATCAAATTTATATCTCGGAACTAATTGTCATACACGTTTCCAGTTTATGTCATCGGTAAGGAAAAGTGTGAAAGTTTTTCTTTTTCATACCCGGCTTACGCGCATGCGCCGTCACATTTCTGCCACCATGTTAGGAATCACCTGGACAGAGAGATGGCTGGGGGGTGGATCGGCAGATGTGGACCAATCGCTTGGCCTCCAAGGACGCCAGATTTAACACCAGTGAATTTTTTATTTTGGGGTTATGTAAAGAACACTGTCTACCAGGTTAAGATCAACGAGCTTCAACACCTGAAAGCCCGCATAAGGGACGCTGTGGCTACGGTAACACCAAACATGCTTCAAGCCTGGATATTTGTCGTGCCACCAAGGAAGCCCAAATTTTAATTTTTTGAGAAAGTTATATACGCAGAAAAACTTCATAGTTTCCCTTTGTAAGGGTCAAACAACCCATTAATGTGTATAATAAATTCTTTCTGAGATATAATTATTGTATTTTGGATACCTTCCATTCGGACAACCTGTATTTTAAATAGAATCAGTCTTACTTTGGCCACGATGACGATCCAGGTACAAGCCGTCATCTGTAGGACTCCGCTAGAATCTGATTCAATGCCAGTGGTCACTGGCCTTACCGCACCTTTGCATTTCTCGTCCACGCATGATCAGTTTTTCATTTCATGTTGCTGAGCTTCCATAAATATTACCAACAAGATAATCCAAAAGTCACAGTCTTTCCCTCTGACGAATTTCGTTACATTCAATAATAGATTAAAGCTTCCTACTTGCCTTCATAAAATATACATATTCACATTTTAGTTTAACTAACATACTTTAAAACTACTAACACACTTCAACATTTCTTGTTCTCCCTACTTGAGTATGACGATAGTTTAAAGTTATTGGTCGAATATTAATTGCAAATGTTGTCTTATTTTTAATATGTACATTCCTGATGGTGTAAATTGCTCCATATTTATCAATGGAATATATTCAAAGCATGAAAATTAATTATATTCTCATGTTTCTTGTTGTCTTGAGTGTAATCGCCAGTTACAAGCTGAGATGATCGAAGTACAACCGGGTATTGTATCTTGGGTTGTTTTACCTCTTCTCTCTTACATGCTGCCAGTACACTTCAAAGTAAAGAAATGTCGCATTAAAATATACTTTACTGCTAAATACATGCGTGAATGGGTGTAGCTTTTGAAAGTTCCCTACCACTAAAATATTGCTTTGCGCTATTCTACGACCGGCTGTCCGTATCGAGACAGCATGGCGTCGGGTGGTGTAGATATGAAATAACTAGAAGAGGCTGGTGGAGGAAGCAGTCATAGCCCAATCAATAAACTATCATAATATTTGTCCTGAGGGGCTGAGGAAAACCACGAAGAACCTCTGTCCGAATATCCGGTGTTCCTGACGAAATTTGAACGGAAATCGTAGCGAATGTAAGTCAAGAGACTCCTGTCCTTCCAATCAGTGATCTTGTTCATACATAAAAACCATAAGTAGAACTTACCCAAGGTACACCTTTCTCTAGAACAGAGTGTCGATGGACGCTATAGATAATCGAAACGCATTGTTTTAATATCACCCCAGGGGCGCATTTTGCTTATTTTTTCTTTATATTTATCTGTGAAATAAACGTCTCTTGTACAGGACTGGGCTTTTTTTGGCAATGAGATAGGAAGTTTTTTGCTCAATTTACAATATACAAGATGAGAAAACATCCGTAATTTGTGTTTTCTTAAAATTTAACGATGAAAAGAAGATACGAATGGGTTGACTGGATTAAGTGGCCCAAGTTTGGGTTCACTAACGGGTCCTTGCAAACACCCTAATAAACTTTCAGGTTGGGTAAAACATAATAACTATTAGCTTCTCAAGACGTGCCGTGTTTTCTGGAATTATTTAACGGTACGGCAACAGAAAGAGAGAGACATATGCGAGAATTGTGAACAAGTGTGTGTTTCAGCATGGAACAGACTGACTCAGACGTGTACACAAGTATAGAGCTATTGCTCAACTTACATTGGATTCTCCAAAACTGTCCTTATTGCCTGCAGCACAGAGGCCTTGTTGATTGCATAGTAGTCCAGTTTGACTGTTATATTCTTCGAAACGCAGCTCTCGATGTTTTGATGCTGATCGGAGTAGAGTGGGATTCCAATCATGGGAACGCCATTGTAAACTGCTTCCTGAGTACTCATGCACCCACCGTGGGTAATGAAGACGCGGACATTGGGGTGACCTAAGACCAGAAATTCTTGTGTAATATATTGTTAACCTATGTAAAGGGTTTTCTTTTTCAGCGGATTCATCCTGTTGTGTATTATATTTCTTTATTAAAAGCCGTCACAACATAGCAATTAATGTTTGTAGTTTCAAGTAGTACTTTAGTACATGCTTTTCAGGAAGCCATCATCAGGCAAATACACTTCAAAACTTCTTCAGCTATTGAATTGAGTGCTGATTACACGATGAAGCGTTAGATTTTTCAAATAGCGTACAATAATATAAAATATAAAATTACAATGAACGTGAGTCTTGAAATGAACTAGTTATATAATTAAAATACAGTTATGATCTGTACATATATTTCAAAGTAGGTAGTTCTAATCGTAATAATGTGTGGTGTTCCTTATGCAGACATGCTGCATACACAGACGGTTCTTATGGTGCTCGGAGGGCCGTTGCTATAATGTACGTTATTATTTAATTTGATTTCTATTTGATGTACGCCTCCATTTATGTGTATATGTCCGATCGGATTACAACTCTATTTTAATTATGGTCCCAGAGCCATCAGACAGTAAATTACATGTATAGTCGTTGGTGCCGTAGGACTCGGAATCATGAATCACTCTGCTGGCGAGGACCAGCAGCAATTTTTCAGTCAGTTAAGTTCGTTAGTTATGAGCCAGCCGCCATCTAACGAGGACGTGACCACGAAAGTAGAGGAATATCTATTGTTGGAGCCGTTACCAGGCAACGAATATGGAAGACCTTGAAGACTTTATATATGCTGCAGCTATAGTGATCTGTATGGCCGCATCATAGTTCAAGCGGTTAGTCGCTGGCTTCCCACCGCGGCGGCCCGGGTTCGATCCCAGGTCTTGTCAAGTGGGGTTTATGGTGGAAAAATTGGGGCTGCAGCGGGTTTTCTCCGAGTACTTCGGTTTCACCTGCCAATCTTCATTCCACCAAATTCTCCATCATAATCACACGGGGCAGGCTACAGTAGGCTAATCAGTGGCCGCCGTGCTGACTGGATCCAGTTGGACTCCACCCCCCCCCCATAAGCGAAAAAAATACAGTGATCTGTAGTGTGTCTACAATACTGGAACGTTTATGGTTATCTGTAGTTACTGTTGTAAATGTTCAGTAAGTGCAATTATCAATACAAATTCAGCGTCTGGTCACTGACACATAAAGAGAAAAGTAAAGCTATCCCTGTAAAGGCCGTGGAGGCCCAAAGGTTTGTGAGACGTCGAAGCTCGCCCATTTTCTAGACAATCGACTTACAGATGATGATATTATCAGTTTTTCGCGCCGGCCTCCCTTTACTCCCAGGAAGATTCCTGGTACTCATTTCTGTTAAGAGGCCGAGTCGACCCCAGGACCGTAGTGCCACTAGAAGTAAGTCAATTGAAAAATCCAATGACCTCTTCGGGAATTTAACCCGCGACCTTCCGTCTTCATATAAACTGTAATTTACTGAAGAAATAGAATTACAGTGACGTATTTCTTATATCACACGTGTAGTGTGTGTACTGATGGACTATTGTTGTCATGTTCTGTCATGTTCTTGTCTCCCACCACGAACTGCCATCCAATGGGATGAAACTTGCTTCTTACATTGACAGCACGCACAGTCGCCTTGACTCCAACGGCGATATCAGAGTGCTGCATTGCTCTTGCTGCAGATCCACGTGTCGATTTTTACTTTAATTACACAAGTGAATTTAAGTTCACCGCATTTTTATGCTTATCATTTATGCTCAATAACATATCATTTAATCATACACATGCTTCAGTTTGAAATGATCTTTCGCGTAAGTACTGCGCTGAAAAGTACTTTGCTGTAAACGATATTCGATCACCACTATCATTTTAGTAGATCCTTTCGGAAGCAGTTCATTCTCGGAGATGATATAAGCTTTCGTGAAATTTTCCTGAGGATGAAAAGGTTTCTTCTCTTGAGAGACGATTTCCTTTGTCACTGTCCATTGAGAGATCATTTCTCCACAATTACACATCTCTATTCTCTGCCATAAACACGTGAGCATAGGACCAAGTTGTGTACTATGTGACGGAAGGAAGCGCTAGCTACTTAGGCTGATTTCAGTAGTCTTCGTCCGTATAGCTTAGATCTTATGGACATTTTCCGTCATGAAGGAAATTACCCATAAAAGCAATGTTCTCATCTTCGACTAAGTCTAACCATTTCTCTCCTTCCATATGGTTTCTGTATAGGCAGGCTTTCTTCGCTCCTTCTCATCACGTGTATACGAGTTGACCATCCTCATGACGCCCCTAACTCAGTAGTACATAAAACATATTTAGTGCTGTCCCAGGGTCTGAGACAGTGCACACTTCTCAAGTTCTCCATTCATACTAAATAGCCAACTAACTAACTTCTGAAATCTGAGCCCTTCTTGAGAAACCGCCAGTTGCTCAGCTACTCAAGAACTTCGCAACATTTCATGGTACATGAAGATTCGTTACCGTGTTCATAAGAGCCCTCCACTGGTCCCTTTCCTAAGCCAGATCGATCCAGTCCACACCAGCCAATCATATCTCTCTGAGATCCATTTTAATATTGTCCACCCACCTACGTCTTGGTCTCCCTACTGGTCTCTTTCCTTCTGTATTTCTCTCCGATAACCTACATGCAATCCTCTTCTCCCCCATTCGTGCTACATGCGCTGTTGATCTCATCTCCTTGACTTGATCTTTCNACCAGGACGAAGGATAAAGTCCGAAAACCCAATATATCAGTGTGTTATACACCATCGTGAGAATCCTATAGTAGCTACTTGATCTTTCTAATTATATGTGGCGAAGTGTACAAGTTACGAAGCTCCTCATAATGCAGTTTTCTCTAACCTCATGTCACTTCATATCTTTCCAGTCCAAATATTTTCCTCAGTTACCTGTTCTCAAATATTTTCAGTCCAAGTTCCTCCCTTAATGTCAGAGACCAAGTTTCACACCCATATAGAACCATAGGAAATATTATGATTGAATATCCCGTTTCTTACGTTTCTAGACAGACGAGAAGACAAATGATTCTGAAGTTGATGGTGGCAAGCATTACCCGAGTTCAGTCTTCTCTAAATTCTCCCCTGAATCATATTTTGAATTGTTGCTGCATTATAAGTATTTGAACTGTGCCACTTTTCAAAGGACCTGTTAGCTGTCTCTATGTCACGACTTTACCCTGCATTCTGGTCACGAGATATCAATATATACGTAGTTATATCGCCGTTTACTCGTGGACCAATCTCCTTACCAGCGTCAATTAAATTTTGTATGTTCTTCTTAATGGTGTTTATGTTATCTCCCAGTAGCTTCGTATCATCAGCACAGACCAGCAGCAGATGAGTCCCATTTAATTTCAACCCCACCTGGCTTCCCTGGACATTCCTAATGGCATATTCTAAGGCAAAGTTCAAAAGCGGTGACGATAAAACATCTCCTTGTTTAGGCAATTTTGGGTAGGAAAATTATCACAGAAAGTTTACCTTTACGGAATTTAATAATTACTAGATTCAATTTTATCGCCCTTCTTGTAAATTTTTATAGCAAGAGCCTCCTTCCTCTGATCGGGCAATTCTTCCTTATTCCAAATAGATATTTTTGAATATTAGACTAACATTCCATTTCCAATTCTAATAAATGTCGTAAGTGTTGTAAACAGTGACAACGTTAACGAGTGAAATGTCAGATAGAAGTTAGAGCACTGCTAGAAAAAAAAAATTTTTACTTGCCGTTATTTACGAATTATAAAATTGGAAGTATGTCACCCACCACGAATACCACCAAGTAATTTATTTACCTCAGAAAAGCCGCACATTAGCAATTCGTATAAATCCTTATTGACCATCTTTTGCATTAACCGTCTGGTTACTTAGAGATTGAAAATGGTGGGCATTGACTGTTTAAGGATTAAACCATGCCTCTTAGCAAGCGGTAGCGTAGTTGGTTGAGGCACTATGCTACAAGCCGGAAGGCCACGGGATCGATTCCCGATGAGGTGGATTTTTTTAATTTACCTAACCATTCCAGTCGCACTATGGCCCTGGGGTCGAATCAGCCTCTAACAGAACTGAGTACCAGGAGTATTCTTGGAATAGTCTTGGGGGAAAGAGCGGCCGGCGCGTAAGGCTGACAACCTTACCTCCATCTATGAGCCGACTGTCTACAAAATTTGGGAACCTCAACATCTCCCAACCCTATGGGCCTCCACGACCTGTTACAGGGATACCTTTATTTTTTATTTTTTTATTTATTTTTTTTTTTTACTCCTAACAAGCATATGAAACATTCTGGAGTAAAAAGAACGGCCTTGCATAATTTCTCTGTCTGAGAAGCTCTATAAAGCTCTTTATGCCTTTAGTCCGCAAGCAAACTATAACGACCGAGTGATTGCCGCATGTCGTCGAAATTAGTACCAACTTTAACGGATAGAGGGTGTCACGTTTTCAGCACAACGAATCTCCAAGGCCGTTAATCTCAGTTTTTTAGACCGGAGCCGCTATTTACATGAAACAGCTCCTCAGTTATACTCACGAGGCTGAGTGGACCCAGAGTGAATATTTTTAACCTTTGTATGCATTGGCCTTGTTTTTTTACAGGTCTTTGTCTTTAACTCATGACACAGTTAAGGCTATATTGGTGAGCCTTGTACACTTTGAGATAACACAATGAATGACAAGGTAGTGATAAAATTCGGACTAATCGCAACTATTACGCAACACAGCTGACACTGAATGAAATAAAATGGATGCGAGCATGGAGAATTACATGTAAAATAAAGGCATGTGAACTTGCGCCGTATATTTCAAATATATTGTAAGAAGTCTGTTAACGTAACAGGTGTCTGAGCCCTTTAGACTTGTGTGGTTAGGAAAGTTTATTGTTTGAGTTTAGTTAACACAATGCAACAATACTATTTATCAACAGTTTAGGCGTAATGTTACTAGTACCACGTTTGATGTAAACTAAACTTCATTACGTTTTTTACTTTTAATATTCTTAGTGCGTGTGTTGATGATGGAGTTCTTCTGTTGTGAACTGTGTATGCTCGACATATCTGAATTTTTTCGAAAGAAGAAAGTGTTCATTAATGTATATTGAATTAGGAATATATGGTAATTTCTGAGTTATAGACAGATCGGGTATCAGTTATTTTTAAGCAATTACATTGATTTTTTCTCACAGTATAGCAAGAAAATTTAAAAATCCCTCTTTGAAAATTTTGTGACTGTAATGAAGTTACAATAGCCGGTCACGGTAGCCGACCGGTCTAAGGCATGCACTGTCTTCGCTCGCTCAGAAGCCGGGATCGTGGGTTCGAATCCCACTCAGGGCATGGATGTTTGTGTGCGTTTTTCTGTGTTTGTCTACAGGTAGAGGCCTTGCGACGAGCTGATCACTCGCCCAAGGAGTCCTACCGCATGTGTAAGATCTAGTAAACCGAAGTGAAACAGAGAGTTTCATGGAGGTAGGCCTAGGCCCAAATTGGGTCTGTAGCGCCACAGAAAAAAAATGAAGTTACAACAAGCCTATATGAAAGAAGCGATGAAGAATAAATAGTATAATTATTATCTTAGCCTTACATAAAGTAAAACTTGTAAGAAAATAAACACGAATATTTGCCCTTATATATATATCAGGTATTAAACAGTAATTACTTATGCATGACATAAGCATTAGAAATTGTTTTAGAAAGCTAATTTGTTTGTCATACTTAGTATATCGAACTGTGGCAGCCACTTGGACGTCATGACGTTCTTTGGCAGCCCCACAATACCGTCCGTCTTCCAGACAACGCGTTGTGGCAGCTCTGAAAATGCATCCATAAAAGACCGCAATTTTTCTTCAGGGAATGTTTCACTTCGAACCAAGGAACCCAGGCTGAAGTAGATAACCCCTTGTTTTGCTCCCTCGATAAAGTTCTCCAAGTCCTATAAACACAGAATAGGTCTATGTACGAAAGTGAATAAAGCACTTTACAGCAGTTGGTACCATGAATACGCTATTCAGTAGCTCTAATTAGGTCATCTATTTGTTGATAATTTGTATCATTCCATTACTTAATTCACTTCTCGCTGCATTAATGCTGAATTTACTTTTAATGCGTTAATTCAGTTGTTTTTCTTGGTATTACACTTCCATGTTCGGTCTGATATTCTTTAATCATCAATTGTTTTAATTGCCCACATGAGGAGGGGGGGAAGCAGAGGTGGTGCAGAGACTAGTTTACTGCACGGTCACCCACGGAACCCGGAGAGGGGGGGTAGCAGAGGTGGTGCAGAGACTAGTTTACTGCACGGTCACCCACGGAACCCGGAGAGGGGGGGTAGCAGAGGTGGTGCAGAGACTAGTTTACTGCACGGTCACCCACGGAACCCGGAGAGGGGGGGTAGCAGAGGTGGTGCAGAGACTAGTTTACTGCACGGTCACCCACGGAACCCGGAGAGGGGGGGTAGCAGAGGTGGTGCAGAGACTAGTTTACTGCACGGTCACCCACGGAACCCGGAGAGGGGGGGTAGCAGAGGTGGTGCAGAGACTAGTTTACTGCACGGTCACCCACGGAACCCGGAGAGGGGGGGTAGCAGAGGTGGTGCAGAGACTAGTTTACTGCACGGTCACCCACGGAACCCGGAGAGGGGGGGTAGCAGAGGTGGTGCAGAGACTAGTTTACTGCACGGTCACCCACGGAACCCGGAGAGGGGGGGTAGCAGAGGTGGTGCAGAGACTAGTTTACTGCACGGTCACCCACGGAACCCGGAGAGGGGGGGTAGCAGAGGTGGTGCAGAGACTAGTTTACTGCACGGTCACCCACGGAACCCGGAGAGGGGGGGTAGCAGAGGTGGTGCAGAGACTAGTTTACTGCACGGTCACCCACGGAACCCGGAGAGGGGGGGTAGCAGAGGTGGTGCAGAGACTAGTTTACTGCACGGTCACCCACGGAACCCGGAGAGGGGGGGTAGCAGAGGTGGTGCAGAGACTAGTTTACTGCACGGTCACCCACGGAACCCGGAGAGGGGGGGTAGCAGAGGTGGTGCAGAGACTAGTTTACTGCACGGTCACCCACGGAACCCGGAGAGGGGGGGTAGCAGAGGTGGTGCAGAGACTAGTTTACTGCACGGTCACCCACGGAACCCGGAGAGGGGGGGTAGCAGAGGTGGTGCAGAGACTAGTTTACTGCACGGTCACCCACGGAACCCGGAGAGGGGGGGTAGCAGAGGTGGTGCAGAGACTAGTTTACTGCACGGTCACCCACGGAACCCGGAGAGGGGGGGTAGCAGAGGTGGTGCAGAGACTAGTTTACTGCACGGTCACCCACGGAACCCGGAGAGGGGGGGTAGCAGAGGTGGTGCAGAGACTAGTTTACTGCACGGTCACCCACGGAACCCGGAGAGGGGGGGTAGCAGAGGTGGTGCAGAGACTAGTTTACTGCACGGTCACCCACGGAACCCGGAGAGGGGGGGTAGCAGAGGTGGTGCAGAGACTAGTTTACTGCACGGTCACCCACGGAACCCGGAGAGGGGGGGTAGCAGAGGTGGTGCAGAGACTAGTTTACTGCACGGTCACCCACGGAACCCGGAGAGGGGGGGTAGCAGAGGTGGTGCAGAGACTAGTTTACTGCACGGTCACCCACGGAACCCGGAGAGGGGGGGTAGCAGAGGTGGTGCAGAGACTAGTTTACTGCACGGTCACCCACGGAACCCGGAGAGGGGGGGTAGCAGAGGTGGTGCAGAGACTAGTTTACTGCACGGTCACCCACGGAACCCGGAGAGGGGGGGTAGCAGAGGTGGTGCAGAGACTAGTTTACTGCACGGTCACCCACGGAACCCGGAGAGGGGGGGTAGCAGAGGTGGTGCAGAGACTAGTTTACTGCACGGTCACCCACGGAACCCGGAGAGGGGGGGTAGCAGAGGTGGTGCAGAGACTAGTTTACTGCACGGTCACCCACGGAACCCGGAGAGGGGGGGTAGCAGAGGTGGTGCAGAGACTAGTTTACTGCACGGTCACCCACGGAACCCGGAGAGGGGGGGTAGCAGAGGTGGTGCAGAGACTAGTTTACTGCACGGTCACCCACGGAACCCGGAGAGGGGGGGTAGCAGAGGTGGTGCAGAGACTAGTTTACTGCACGGTCACCCACGGAACCCGGAGAGGGGGGGTAGCAGAGGTGGTGCAGAGACTAGTTTACTGCACGGTCACCCACGGAACCCGGAGAGGGGGGGTAGCAGAGGTGGTGCAGAGACTAGTTTACTGCACGGTCACCCACGGAACCCGGAGAGGGGGGGTAGCAGAGGTGGTGCAGAGACTAGTTTACTGCACGGTCACCCACGGAACCCGGAGAGGGGGGGTAGCAGAGGTGGTGCAGAGACTAGTTTACTGCACGGTCACCCACGGAACCCGGAGAGGGGGGGTAGCAGAGGTGGTGCAGAGACTAGTTTACTGCACGGTCACCCACGGAACCCGGAGAGGGGGGGTAGCAGAGGTGGTGCAGAGACTAGTTTACTGCACGGTCACCCACGGAACCCGGAGAGGGGGGGTAGCAGAGGTGGTGCAGAGACTAGTTTACTGCACGGTCACCCACGGAACCCGGAGAGGGGGGGTAGCAGAGGTGGTGCAGAGACTAGTTTACTGCACGGTCACCCACGGAACCCGGAGAGGGGGGGTAGCAGAGGTGGTGCAGAGACTAGTTTACTGCACGGTCACCCACGGAACCCGGAGAGGGGGGGTAGCAGAGGTGGTGCAGAGACTAGTTTACTGCACGGTCACCCACGGAACCCGGAGAGGGGGGGTAGCAGAGGTGGTGCAGAGACTAGTTTACTGCACGGTCACCCACGGAACCCGGAGAGGGGGGGTAGCAGAGGTGGTGCAGAGACTAGTTTACTGCACGGTCACCCACGGAACCCGGAGAGGGGGGGTAGCAGAGGTGGTGCAGAGACTAGTTTACTGCACGGTCACCCACGGAACCCGGAGAGGGGGGGTAGCAGAGGTGGTGCAGAGACTAGTTTACTGCACGGTCACCCACGGAACCCGGAGAGGGGGGGTAGCAGAGGTGGTGCAGAGACTAGTTTACTGCACGGTCACCCACGGAACCCGGAGAGGGGGGGTAGCAGAGGTGGTGCAGAGACTAGTTTACTGCACGGTCACCCACGGAACCCGGAGAGGGGGGGTAGCAGAGGTGGTGCAGAGACTAGTTTACTGCACGGTCACCCACGGAACCCGGAGAGGGGGGGTAGCAGAGGTGGTGCAGAGACTAGTTTACTGCACGGTCACCCACGGAACCCGGAGAGGGGGGGTAGCAGAGGTGGTGCAGAGACTAGTTTACTGCACGGTCACCCACGGAACCCGGAGAGGGGGGGTAGCAGAGGTGGTGCAGAGACTAGTTTACTGCACGGTCACCCACGGAACCCGGAGAGGGGGGGTAGCAGAGGTGGTGCAGAGACTAGTTTACTGCACGGTCACCCACGGAACCCGGAGAGGGGGGGTAGCAGAGGTGGTGCAGAGACTAGTTTACTGCACGGTCACCCACGGAACCCGGAGAGGGGGGGTAGCAGAGGTGGTGCAGAGACTAGTTTACTGCACGGTCACCCACGGAACCCGGAGAGGGGGGGTAGCAGAGGTGGTGCAGAGACTAGTTTACTGCACGGTCACCCACGGAACCCGGAGAGGGGGGGTAGCAGAGGTGGTGCAGAGACTAGTTTACTGCACGGTCACCCACGGAACCCGGAGAGGGGGGGTAGCAGAGGTGGTGCAGAGACTAGTTTACTGCACGGTCACCCACGGAACCCGGAGAGGGGGGGTAGCAGAGGTGGTGCAGAGACTAGTTTACTGCACGGTCACCCACGGAACCCGGAGAGGGGGGGTAGCAGAGGTGGTGCAGAGACTAGTTTACTGCACGGTCACCCACGGAACCCGGAGAGGGGGGGTAGCAGAGGTGGTGCAGAGACTAGTTTACTGCACGGTCACCCACGGAACCCGGAGAGGGGGGGTAGCAGAGGTGGTGCAGAGACTAGTTTACTGCACGGTCACCCACGGAACCCGGAGAGGGGGGGTAGCAGAGGTGGTGCAGAGACTAGTTTACTGCACGGTCACCCACGGAACCCGGAGAGGGGGGGTAGCAGAGGTGGTGCAGAGACTAGTTTACTGCACGGTCACCCACGGAACCCGGAGAGGGGGGGTAGCAGAGGTGGTGCAGAGACTAGTTTACTGCACGGTCACCCACGGAACCCGGAGAGGGGGGGTAGCAGAGGTGGTGCAGAGACTAGTTTACTGCACGGTCACCCACGGAACCCGGAGAGGGGGGGTAGCAGAGGTGGTGCAGAGACTAGTTTACTGCACGGTCACCCACGGAACCCGGAGAGGGGGGGTAGCAGAGGTGGTGCAGAGACTAGTTTACTGCACGGTCACCCACGGAACCCGGAGAGGGGGGGTAGCAGAGGTGGTGCAGAGACTAGTTTACTGCACGGTCACCCACGGAACCCGGAGAGGGGGGGTAGCAGAGGTGGTGCAGAGACTAGTTTACTGCACGGTCACCCACGGAACCCGGAGAGGGGGGGTAGCAGAGGTGGTGCAGAGACTAGTTTACTGCACGGTCACCCACGGAACCCGGAGAGGGGGGGTAGCAGAGGTGGTGCAGAGACTAGTTTACTGCACGGTCACCCACGGAACCCGGAGAGGGGGGGTAGCAGAGGTGGTGCAGAGACTAGTTTACTGCATGGACACCCAAGGAATCCGGACTCGCTAGTCTTCTCTCAAGCGTCCAGTTCGTCTCGCACCCGGCTTCTCCCGCGGTTAAGGCTTGGAACACACAGCGACATCGGTCGTAAGACGTCCGTACGGTTCACGTTGCATCAAGTAGTAGAATATAAAGTGTAATCTTAGCTTTCATATGTGACAACATGCGACATCTACCGTACGACAGTCGGAGAACAAAGAAATGTATTTGGTCGCTGTAGTGTGAAAAGGAGGTCGTACGATATTTTGCCGTACGGCCGGAGTGTTAAAGCTACCACTCACCTCTACATAGTGACGATTTAAAAATCCACAAAGCTATACCTCCGCTCCACCATACATCTTCATGACGTCACACTTAAGCACAGTGTTACTACTAACTTTTACATCTATAAATTAATATGTATTAACAATTTTCAACGTATTAAATAAATTCACCTTTGGCAATTTCTTGGGAACTCCTATGTGTAGGCCTCCGACTTCGACTACTCCTGGAACCATGGGTCTCGGAATGTTCAAAGAGAAGTGACTGTTGGTAAACAAGAGGCTCGTGTTCTTCGTAATAGCACGTAGGGACGGGATATCAGGACCCAAATGTTTTCGTGCCAATTGTTCCATCGGGATTTCCGCAAAATAGTATCTACTGAATATCATTCCTATCCTCAATAATGTATTCAGTAGCCTCTGCTGAAAATTCATCCTGTCTGTGTGAGGAAGGAAGAAAATGGGTATGTAAGCCGGGTGACTAGGGTTGCCGAAAGCATCGTCAGACCAAGGCATTGGCACACTTGATGTCATGCTGATGTGAGGCGCTTGAAATTTATGTGCAAATGCAGTTAAGCAATCCACTCCGAATGATTCCGTTATCACTAAATCAAATTTCTCGTCTGATTTGATTAATCTCTGAACTTCCGGATGCTCATACACTTTTTCGCAGAATTTCACATTCAAATTCCAAATGAAATAAAGCAGATTAATCAAATGCTGATTTATTGCAAAGTCTAATGTAAAGGTGTTTATGATCTGGGGTAGTGAGCTCTCAATATTGATGTCTGTGTAGTTGACTATTGGCTTCTTCTGTGGGAAGTGGCTGAGTACGACAACGTCGTGTCCCCTGGCTGCCAGTCCCTTCAGAAGCGCCTCGAACATTATGAAGTGACTTTTGGCATTCAACTGGAATAATCCAAGTATCCGTGCAGCTTCCAGTTTTCGCATACTCGAACATCCCAAAAGCGCAAGGCAAAGCAGGAACCGATAAAGCTTCATCTGTTGAAGGAAAACAAATTTTTACATCTAGTTTTGTTGACATAGTCACAGGCAATTTACAAAACGAAGGGAATGAGGAGGTAAAGTGACTTTGCAGCACGCCAGGCCTATCCAAAAAGCATTTTGGGAAATTATCTTGCTTACTTAATCCGTTCCTCTTATACTTTACGACCTAAGTTTTTTGTTTCAATTTTGATCATTTTACAGGCGGTAGGACTCCTTGGATGAGTGAACAGCACGTCGCAAGACCTCTACCTAAACACAGAAAAACACATACCAAACATCAATGTTTTACGTGGGATTCGAACCCATTATCCCGACTTCCGAGTTAGCGAAAACAGTGAATGACCTAGACCGCTTGGCTACCTTGACCGACTGAGAAATTATCATATGCTGCTGTTCGATTTGAAAATTATATGCTACCCTCACAATAAAATTAACAGTTCTATGGAACACTTTCAGAATAAGGCAATTGAATTTATGACACAATTCTTTGAAAGGCAGCAGAAATTACAATTCTTGGGATAATTTTATTGTATCATAATAAAAACAAGACAGAAACATAACGCAATAACAAAATAGAAAATATAATAATAAGCTAACTATTCTGTCCCGTNAGTATTCCTGAGATTGTTCAATGTGCAAGGTCCAAAATGTTCGCATTGCATAAGAATTCTGTCGCGGGCGGTCACGTCCGTTTAATTATCTCGAAAACCGCAAGACCTTAGAAACATATATTCGATACAAAACATGATTTATCTGTATGGCATTTCTTCATGACTTTTTTCAATCTGATAAACATTAGATTCCTCCCACCCCTCCGGGTGGAAACGCATTTAAGTCTTAATGTAGGGCCATTGTTACAATTGGCCGATCTAAATGAAAATTTAAATGGCTCACAGATTCTCCAAAATAAAATTTAGTTCGAATAATTTGTCCCCTATCAAAATCTTTATCGAATACGGACGGAAGGAGAGTTCCATTTTTGTGGTACCCAACGGGAATGCAAAATCCAAGCACTCAGGGCAACTGCGCCTTTAAATATTGGTCCCTTTATTTTGAAGGTTAGCCCGGTTTTCTAATAACGGATTTAATTATCTGATACGTCACATCAACACAGTCAAATCACATTTTACAGACAAAACCACACGTTTCCATCAAGGGATTTGTCCTACAAGTAGACGCCAATTATAGAACACTGTACATTACAGAGTGGATAATTTTCAGTCCAGTGTGACATACAAGTTTACAACACTTCAGTCCTCATTCACCTTACATGTTTCGATTCAAAAGAGTCATCCTCAGAGGCGCGCCACTACGATCAGGAAACACTGTCACATAAGATGTTTTAACCATATGCACTTAAGCTATGAATAATGCTCACCATATAAATTTTGTTATTATCACGGTTGGTTTTGGTGTTTGTCCCAGGCATTCATGATGGCGCTTCTTGAAGAGTAGACTTCCATATGATGCTGTTTCTTTTAAGCGTATTTGCTGGGTATTCTGACTGGGATTTTCCACTGCACGCGATATGATATTCACTTTTTCATACATTAGCCTCCCAATGTATTTAAAATTGTATTAAAATTTTCTTTTGCATGTAAAAATTAGTTATTATGTTAAAATATCGTGAGCCGACATTGGGTCATGTTGTTTTCCTCCTGATGGTGGGAGATGTCGTTTATTTCTCTTGATTTTATGTTCTTATTATTAGTCGTGTAGTTTACGTGCGTGCTGTGTCGTTTGTACAGTGTTGTAAACTTGTATGTCACATTGGACTGAACATTATCCACTCTGTAATTAGTAGTGTGACGGACCAAAATGAGACAAATAAAAAAACACTATACATTACTTAAAAACTTCCCTTCTTGTTCGCTTCTGTGTATTTCAATTTCCATTTATGGAGTCAAATAAAATTCTTATTATCAAATTTTATCATATCTCCATAAATTAAATATTTTACTTGTGATATTCCAGAATATGCTGCCATTATCTTCCTCGTGCAGGATCCGCCATGTATTAGTCATGTTTCAATTGCTATGATATTTATTCGTAATTTTTTTTATTTCACATGCTTAACTAAATTCTTACCTTCGCTGTTTATGTCCGTTCCTTCGCGTTCTTCAGCAAGACTGAAGGGTTTGAACGGTTTGAATAGATCCCCATAGTTATATCTGCTACGCACTGCGCTTGCGCTCTTCTGCGTTTGTTTCATTGCACTGTAGTGTTCAATCGTAGCATGAAGTAGACTTACCGCTCATTCTCGTGCTTCCCATTCGCATTCCCAAACGCATACTTCCCCCCAAATTGGTCATTTTCATCTTGCGAGATCAGAATGTTTGCTACAGGTTATATTTGTCATCTCCATCATCATCTTCACTATCATCATTGGCGAAACAGCCCTTTTTGAGCGGTGGCCTTCCTTAGAAGTTTCTGCCAGACCTGTTCTGAATTAGACCATCCGGTTTTACTTCTTCGGATATAACAACCATTTTGTTTTTGCAGATCAAGATCAAGAAGAGTTGCTGAAAGTTAACGGCATATCCCAAGTTTGGTTAAAATATAGCGAAAATAATGGTCACTGTGGATGAGGACACATCAGGCTTTTCAGAGCCTGTCTCGGGTGTTAATGATTACGCACTTAAGTGCCGAAAACATTGTACAGGAAATGAAGCATATCCCTCATATTTTTGCCTGAAATGCTGATATATTTGTGATAAGTAAACAAGAACTGGCATGACTAGTTCCGTCTTCTGGAATGTGACACATTCTGTATATCAGAATACAAGAAAACAGGACTTGTCATAACCATAGCTACCAGAACCCCAGGCGAAACAAGAATTGATACAATTTGCATATAGTTTCTAACTTGCGTACGAGTATTCAACAATGAGTATTGGTTTCCCGAAGACAAATTAAGATAACAGAAATATTTTATTCCCGAAAATAATTACGTGAAGGATTCTGTTGGCTAAATGTATAGTTTCGCTGAATTCAAACTGCGCTGAAATTATAATATTAAATGCAGTATGGAGCATGTACTAATCAATTATTTTGGCCTTTGTAACAACTCCTTCAAAATGGGTCTTTATTCAATGAGCAGAGGCCTATGTTTAATACTTCTCGCCAGTTCGAGTTAGTATCACCGAACGGTGATTAAATTCACGTGAGCTAAGCCATAGTTCATTGTAGCCCTAAGAGAGTGGCTAATATTAATCTTAAGAACTCAGTTGATCTAAAATATGGATCCTCTAGATTTGTTGAATTGCACTTCCGTTCCAAAATTGTCATTACTCAAATTATTTTACATGTCAGAAATTTTAAAATTATTGATTTATAATCATTTATAATTTCTTCTGACTAACGCGTCTGTTAATTGTACAATCTAAGCTTATTCTTCTCAGTTGTTGATAGTGTTTTTATGTTCTTTGCTTCTCCTTTGTTTAACCTCGATCTTTATTCTAATTCGCATTCTTAAAAACTTTGTACTTACCTTAATACAATTCCTGCTAAGCCTGCTTGTAACTGAGACTCTGACAGCCGTAGCTATGAATAGTTCTGTCTTGCGGGACATAACTCCATGCAGTCTGTTGCTTCACCCTTGTTCCTTACTTGGTTACCCTTCAGCCTAAAGTTGGGGGCGGCATGTACCCCCGAAAATGATTACATTCATGGGACTGCGCTGCTTGAAATCCCGGAAGGTAAATCTCTCCCATATTTTTTCTTTAATCCATGCCAGTTACACCACTATCATTTGGCAGTTGTTTATTTTTTAATAATCATTAATTTTGTTAAAGAAAGCAGTCTTCTGGGATGTGGCACCGTGTAGATGTGGTGTTAACCGACGTTTCGGAGAAACGTATCGCCTCCATCTTCAGGGTAGAAGGAAAGAAAGAAATCCGCAAGCGAAGAGACCGTGAGAAACGGTACCGTTCCTCCGAAACTTCGGTAAACACCACATCTACACGGTGCCACATCCCAGAAGGCTGCTTTCTTCATAGTCACCGCTGTGAAAACCTCAAATCTTACGTTTATTTTATTGCCTAATATTCGATTACAGATAAATCCCACTATAATTTCCAGTAACTAATTTGGTATTAAGTTCTTTTGTTGTCGATGGAGGATAAGGCCTCCTTGAATGAAGGGTAGTAGCGAATATATTGAGTGATCACTCGTGGACAAGCGACAAAGGATGGTCCTCCACGAGTGTGAAGCTCTTGTGAAATCTGCAATGAACCTTCTGCATGGGAGAAGGATAGAGAATAGCATTGAATATTAGAACGCCTGTTGAATTAAAAAAAAAAAAGGTTTCTTCCTTACTTAGTTTTGTTGCGTTAGTCATAAAATGCTTGTGCTAATACTATAAAATAACGAACACAAATTATAAAATTAGTCCGAAAGCTTGAATGAGCACTGTACGACTGTAACATAAAAACCTTCAAATATTTTCCGAGTCATTGTGCATCCGTCAGGGTCTCTATGCCCATTTATTCAAGCAGAAATTATTTTAAGTACCACTAATATGTAGTAGTCTACAGACATATATTACTCTGAATAGATACATGAACTATTTTTCTTCATTAACCCCTTGTAGCAGATTTCTTATTAGGTAGATGATAGCAACCCCAAGCGTCAGGGGACGCTACGCTGTACAGAACACGTAGGTTCCTTGCTTCTTCACACGTCTGAGCATTTAAATACAATCATGGAGAGAAATATTTAAAATAAATTAAAAATCTTAATACTGTTTATATTTCTTGTCATCTACCAAATTCTGCCCTTAATTTTCTTCTTTAAAAATATTAATAAAATACTCCTTTTCACTTCGTCGTAGAATGGGGAACAGTACTGGATCAATACGGATCAAAAGAGTGTTTTTCCGTCAAAGTAGTAACATATTATCAAATGTCGTTTAAATTAAGTTGCTTGGTGTAGCACGAGGGAAGACAGACGCCACTACCTCATTGTATCTTAAATTATTTTGGTTCACGTAAATAAAGGTATAAACATCAGGCGAGTGTAGATGGGACAGCATACTTTCACTTCTCTCAGTAAAATAAAACGTAATATTGAATCATGAAATTCTGAAAATAGAGTAAGCCTGTAATTTAATGCGCGCCTTGTTTTTGGGTAGTACTTATTTTCTCTGTAGTTGTCACTGCCAACAATAGTCCATTTGTTGTCAGCTTTTGCAAATTTAATGAAAAGTAACTATTTAAAAGTGGCTCTTGAACCCTATGTTTTGTATTTTTCAATACTGAATTGTGGGTACGCTTTGTTTAAAAAATTGACTATATGTTTTATTTTCTTTTTATATTGAATCAAAGAGTGTAATATTCCTATGTCAGTCCGATATTTCATGTTAAAATGCGGGAATACAAAAGCTATTTTCTTTACACGTGTCCATGTTCGGATTTTCATTTTACGTTAAGTTCTGAGGGACGGGAGAAAGCGGCCCCAAAATAGAAGAAATAAGACACATTCGGCACGACAGGGCTGTGAGACGTCGGGACTCCCACATTTTATAAATAATCGGTTCACAGATGACAGTGAGGTCGATCTTACGCGCCGGCCGCTCGTCATCCACGAGGACGATTCATGGGTACTCGTTTCTTTTAGAGGCTGAGTTGAACCCAGGGCCATAGTGCGGCTGGAAGGATTACGTCAATTGAATCGGGAACAGAACCCGCGACCAACTACACTACCGCGTGTCCCTATTATTCACAGCAGAGATCTTAATTGATTTAGGCATATTCTTCAAATAAAATGAAAGGGAACCATATAATTTAAGTTTATTTTCCGTTCATTTTTCAAAATTGCTTGTTCTCTAAGTGCCAAAGGAACTAGGGGAAAGAAAAAGAGAAGAAGAAATAGGGAGAGAGAAGGATGCGAAGGAAGACAGGAGGGGTAGATGAAAGCAAGAAAGGCTTCACTAACGGAGCTAGTACGCGCGGAGGTCCCATCACTTTTCATATAAAAATATAGCTTTCTGCTTTAGTCAGCCTTCTCACTATGCAGCAGCAGTTCATACTGGTTTTGGTATACATATACAATTTTAATATCAGTACCTTATTTGCAGATTGCGCATGCGTCAAATGGCGTGTGTGGAGCTACATGTATCGTTCGGTGCTGACTGCTTATCCTTACTTTATTGCGGTGTACGGATATTGAACACCAAGAAGTACAAAGACATGCAATCCCCCACGAAAGATGTATTCAGGAAAGCCAAGAATGGATATAAAGGAACAGGTTGTGTTTGTGTTGACTGAAATAGTTGGCGCAGGATATAAGCCAGAGGTGAGGCACTTGAACATAGTAACAAACATTTCGGTTCCATCAATTTGTTGGCATTTTTTAGATGCAGAGATACGATCGACTTTAAAAGAAGAACTCATCACCATGATTTTTTTTACTGGCTCTGCAGCCCCTTTGTGCCATGACCTCTGATCTTTCAGTATCATGATCATTTTTACAGACGGTAGGTCTCCTTGGACGGGTGATCAGCGCGTCGCAAGGCCTCTGCCTAACCACAGGACAACACATACACATACCAAACATTAATGCCTTGTGTGGGATTTGAACACACGATCCAGGTTTCCGAGCGAGCTAAGGCAGTATATGCCTTAGACCGCTTATCACCATGAATTAGTTAAAAACATTAATCTTCCTGCACTCGTGTAGCCTGTTTCTATGATGCTGTTCTACTGTTAAGGTTTTATGAAGTACAAAGCCCATTCCAAGACATTTCTATCAGTTAAAGTCATAATTAAATGTGGGAACAAAACGAAAATTCGAACGCATGCGTACATACAAACACACATGCAGCTTTAAAATAAAATATAATTTAGAATTTCATTCGATACTGAAGAATATTTTGTGTGTCGCTAAATTCAAATTGTTGGTACAGCGGTATTTAATTATTTTTGGACGTGTAAGTAAGGGACACAACAGCTGACGAATACAGAATACGTAAACACATGGAACATACCGAAGAATGCTCCTGTCAGCATTTTACATTAAGCCTTACGCACCAAGAGGTTTAATGTAGCAGTAATTCTCTGGGCTCTTGGGCTGTACTCGGTTCGAATCTCGATAATGGCACCGTCTATCCTGGCTTGATTGGTTTCCCTCAGTCCCCGAAGCGCATGCTGCGATAACAATTCGATTATGTTATAATCGCTTTGTTGCAAATCCTTTCCAATTCACAATTTATCTAGCTACTGACAGCGCAATAAAATAATCCATAGAAAATGCCATACACAGTTTGAAATATTGTGTTAAGCAGATTATATATATTGCATAGTAAGCGCGAGAAATGAAAAAGCTTAGTCAGAGTTAAAGAGAAATCAAATAGGTCATCAGTTCTTATAGCAACATTAAGTATTTCTGCACACGTGTCAAGCGTAATTTGTTAAATATTTATAGGAGGGCACAAAAAGCTACACATGCAAAATTCTATGATCCCGGAAATTAAATTTAGCCGCCAGGAGCATGAAATCTGAGTGCAGATTCTTCTTCGCGGGCAAGTGGAACGTGTGTAGGAACCTTTTTCTGTCCTTGAAAATGTAAGAAATAAGACAAATCTCTCTTGGAAAAATAATAATTGGAAAAGTTGTTAGTATTCCTATACATAAATTTCGGCACAGAGGTGTCAGAAGCAACTAGTCCGTCCTTCAAAATTTGGAATGGTGGGTAAGCGTGGGAAAGAAGAGAAACCTTCCACTTTTGATCTTTCCCCCCCCCCCTTGGCACTACAGCCACAGTGGGCCTAGGCCTACCTCCGTGAACTTCTCCGTTCACTTCGGTTTTTCTAGATCTTACACATTCTATAGGACTCCTTGGGCGGGTGATCAGCTCGTCGCAAGGCCTCTACCTGTACATAAACGCAGAAAAACGCATACAAACATCCATGCCCTGAGTGGGATTCGAACCCACGATCCCGGCTTCCGAGGGAGGGAAGACAGTGCACGCCTTAGACCGCTCGGCTACCGTGACCCGCCCACTTTTGATCTATCCTGGAGAAAATAATTTATTTTGTTTACAGTTTCAATAAGAAGGTACAGTGTGCCTAAAGACTAACACAATTCACATGTTCAGATGTTTCTTATGTTAATAATTTGACAGTTATGATTTTAGGAACATTTCTATGTGGAACACGAAACGTAAATACTTCTTTAAGAAGTTGCTGTAAAAGATTTATTTTGATAAAAATTAAAGTTTAGATCAATTTATGGCATGATGACTTCTCATTTTCTCTTGTTCTTAGGTAATTTAGTTACGTGTTTGCATATGTATAAATAACGTTATGTAATTTTACGCACTTTAAAATGCTACTACAGTGCGCTCGGTATGGAAATACAATAGTACTGCAGGCCTCACAAGAGTTGTCTTCCGGACAGCAAGATGCTCCCGCACTCTGCAGACTTTTCATGTAAATAATCGCCACGAACAACAAAAATACGAGTAGTTTCAGTTGTTACAGTGCAGCTATTTCTCTACAGGCGCCATAATAATCACGTGATTCATGATTCCAGGCTATATTAGCGCATAATTTACAAAGGATCATTGAATAGACAATACCCACGCTTTTATAAATGAAGGCATAGTTAGTACAGTGAGATATAAGAAGCGAAAAATTGATTCAATTCTATTTTAATTACATTCATAAAATTTGTAGCATACACAAAAAATACACATCTATAAAGGGCTACAGTAGAGTATGTGCTAATATGAGTGCGCACGCGCTGGTGTTAAAAATGTTCCTATCAATAGGTGGGTTTGCCAAAGACAGTCTNAAAGACAATCTCTGACGTCATTGAAAGTGCGTCGATGTGCGGTTTACTAACAGTTTTTTTTTTTGGCCAGCTGATAGCAGATCTTGTTCTTCTGTTGTTAAGTGGATTTGCCAAAAACACACTCTCCCGCCTGCAGATGCGGGTCTAGTGCTCATGCCCCAGGTGGATTTGCCAGCAGTGGCATCCAGCGCTGCCTGTTGCCATTCTTATAAAATATGTTTATTTAAAATGCTTTTTTCAAATGTGGGTTATGCAATTTTTCAATATTGCATATTTTAACTGGCTTATGTCATGTTATGTCATAACATGTTGTGTCATTTTATAATGGCTCTTCCAGCCCATTTGGGGCCCTGGTTTTCCAGTTCCATAATCATTTTTCACAGCCGGTGGGACTCCTTGGACGAGTGACCAGCTTGTCGCAAAGCCTATGCCTAAACACTGGCCAAAACAAACACAGAATAAACGCATACACACACCAAACATTCATGCATTAAATGGGATTCGAACCCACCATCCCAGGGTCCGAGAGAGCGAAGACAGTTCTTGCCTTAGACCGCGCAGCTACCTTGAACGGCCCACTTTTTATCTAAAAAAATTAATTTATGTAAAAGTAAATTATTAACCAAGACAAATCATTAATCTGTATACAATTTAATACGAAGCATGACAACGGACATGTAACACTAGTTCACATTGTTTCGTTTTCCTTCTCAGTTGGATTTCAGTTTTCTAGGNTATGATCCCGGAAATTAAATTTAGCCGCCAGGAGCATGAAATCTGAGTGCAGATTCTTCTTCGCGGGCAAGTGGAACGTGTGTAGGAACCTTTTTCTGTCCTTGAAAATGTAAGAAATAAGACAAATCTCTCTTGGAAAAATAATAATTGGAAAAGTTGTTAGTATTCCTATACATAAATTTCGGCACAGAGGTGTCAGAAGCAACTAGTCCGTCCTTCAAAATTTGGAATGGTGGGTAAGCGTGGGAAAGAAGAGAAACCTTCCACTTTTGATCTTTCCCCCCCCCCCTTGGCACTACAGCCACAGTGGGCCTAGGCCTACCTCCGTGAACTTCTCCGTTCACTTCGGTTTTTCTAGATCTTACACATTCTATAGGACTCCTTGGGCGGGTGATCAGCTCGTCGCAAGGCCTCTACCTGTACATAAACGCAGAAAAACGCATACAAACATCCATGCCCTGAGTGGGATTCGAACCCACGATCCCGGCTTCCGAGGGAGGGAAGACAGTGCACGCCTTAGACCGCTCGGCTACCGTGACCCGCCCACTTTTGATCTATCCTGGAGAAAATAATTTATTTTGTTTACAGTTTCAATAAGAAGGTACAGTGTGCCTAAAGACTAACACAATTCACATGTTCAGATGTTTCTTATGTTAATAATTTGACAGTTATGATTTTAGGAACATTTCTATGTGGAACACGAAACGTAAATACTTCTTTAAGAAGTTGCTGTAAAAGATTTATTTTGATAAAAATTAAAGTTTAGATCAATTTATGGCATGATGACTTCTCATTTTCTCTTGTTCTTAGGTAATTTAGTTACGTGTTTGCATATGTATAAATAACGTTATGTAATTTTACGCACTTTAAAATGCTACTACAGTGCGCTCGGTATGGAAATACAATAGTACTGCAGGCCTCACAAGAGTTGTCTTCCGGACAGCAAGATGCTCCCGCACTCTGCAGACTTTTCATGTAAATAATCGCCACGAACAACAAAAATACGAGTAGTTTCAGTTGTTACAGTGCAGCTATTTCTCTACAGGCGCCATAATAATCACGTGATTCATGATTCCAGGCTATATTAGCGCATAATTTACAAAGGATCATTGAATAGACAATACCCACGCTTTTATAAATGAAGGCATAGTTAGTACAGTGAGATATAAGAAGCGAAAAATTGATTCAATTCTATTTTAATTACATTCATAAAATTTGTAGCATACACAAAAAATACACATCTATAAAGGGCTACAGTAGAGTATGTGCTAATATGAGTGCGCACGCGCTGGTGTTAAAAATGTTCCTATCAATAGGTGGGTTTGCCAAAGACAGTCTCTGACGTCATTGAAAGTGCGTCGATGTGCGGTTTACTAACAGTAGTTTTTTTTTGGCCAGCTGATAGCAGATCTTGTTCTTCTGTTGTTAAGTGGATTTGCCAAAAACACACTCTCCCGCCTGCAGATGCGGGTCTAGTGCTCATGCCCCAGGTGGATTTGCCAGCAGTGGCATCCAGCGCTGCCTGTTGCCATTCTTATAAAATATGTTTATTTAAAATGCTTTTTTCAAATGTGGGTTATGCAATTTTTCAATATTGCATATTTTAACTGGCTTATGTCATGTTATGTCATAACATGTTGTGTCATTTTATAATGGCTCTTCCAGCCCATTTGGGGCCCTGGTTTTCCAGTTCCATAATCATTTTTCACAGCCGGTGGGACTCCTTGGACGAGTGACCAGCTTGTCGCAAAGCCTATGCCTAAACACTGGCCAAAACAAACACAGAATAAACGCATACACACACCAAACATTCATGCATTAAATGGGATTCGAACCCACCATCCCAGGGTCCGAGAGAGCGAAGACAGTTCTTGCCTTAGACCGCGCAGCTACCTTGAACGGCCCACTTTTTATCTAAAAAAATTAATTTATGTAAAAGTAAATTATTAACCAAGACAAATCATTAATCTGTATACAATTTAATACGAAGCATGACAACGGACATGTAACACTAGTTCACATTGTTTCGTTTTCCTTCTCAGTTGGATTTCAGTTTTCTAGGCATACTCCCGGCACAAGTAGAGATGATTTTCCTGAAGATGACATACAGAGACACGAATACAATGATGACGGACAGCACAATCACTGCTATTACATCTACCAGGAGATATTGATACCAAGTGAGATCCACTGCAGCAGAACGCAACTGTGGCGCCCCACCATGTCTGATGACGTATTCAGTCCAAAAGAAGGCGGTCTCAAGCGCCGTCTGGGGTCGATCCCGGAACAGACGTGAGAGCTTTTCAGCGTTCTTCCGGTAACTGAAATAGTGGAAAGGAAAGCATGAAGCAGCTAATTCCGGGCTGCACAGTCATTACCACAGAGAGTAATATGTTCTTAGGTGTAACGGCATACAACAAAACAAAACTCCGTGGCTTGTAGTCCGCAAGTGAACTATACCGACCGAGCGACCGTCGGTTGTCGGCAAAGTTAGTGCCAATTTTTGCGGATAGACAGTGTCACGTGGTCAGTGCAACGGATCCCCACGGCTGTTAATTTCGGTTTTCTAGACCGGAACAGCCATTTCCTTGAAATAGCTCCTCAATTACCATCACGAAGTTGAGTGAACCCCATTCCAGACCCACTGTTTCTAAGAAAATCTGATAACGCCGGGTATCGAACCTGGACCTCTGGATCTGTAGCGAGGAACTCTGACCACTAGACCACAAGGCAGTCCGATATAAAGTCACCGACATTTGGGAGAAATTATTTTGCTTGCTGTTTGTTTCCTACTGGTTGCTCGCTTGGTTTACATTTCGACCTTGAAGAAGGGAGCAACCAACTATGCTATCGCATGCCCTTATATACATCATCTGTCAAGTATAAAATATGGCTTAAAACCAAAGCAGATCATTGAGCCTATTAATGACTACCGCAGCAGAGGAAACGAAATTTTCAGCCTGGGTTTCAAATGAGCACGTAACCAGGTCACTTTCGAATATAAGTTATATGTGTTAGTGCTGCAGTGAATAAAATTTGAAAAGTGCATAATTTTCCATATTCTACACCAAGGGCCTCCAAACTACGGCCCGCGATGTGATTTTATCCGGCCCGCGAAAGAATTGTGCAGAAATGCGCAAATTGAACTAATTTTCCAACGAGTACTGGTAAAAAAAATACTTGTTCATAGATTTCAAATTAATTAATTAAGATTGTGTTTAAAATATATTGATATTCCATATTATGTTAATATTAATATTATTCACAATTTTACTAATTCTGGACCGTATACTGCGCGGTATTTCTTCGTACTTGTTCGGCCTCGATCGGCAGTGTCACTTCGTGGCAATGTAGGTAGCGCGAGCAGTTCGTTACTAGCCGTCTTGTGCACAAGACTTCTTGCAGTGGTGCAGTGTAATTGTAACAGATGATCATCACCTCAGTTTAATCAGATTTTAAGAATGCAAAAAGAGTTCCATCATTCACATTGTTTTATTACAATTTGTGATGAAAATATGAGCATTTGCTGCTACTGTCTGTTGTCATTAATATACGTTAATTTATTCTCACGTACTTTGTATTTAGTTTATGAAATTCTGTGCTTTCAATAAAACTCATATACCTAGAGTTATTAATTTCTCATTTTATCCGGCCCCTTGAAAGTGCTGAATTACCTAATATGGCCCGCGTTTGAAAAGTTTGTAGACCCCTGTTTTACACTATGTTCCGTATACCTTGAAACAGAAAATTACGTATTTTGATTACTAGGGCCCTTGGCATCGAGACCGGAACTTGAAGCTGCATCTTACCTGGAGTTGTGTGAAATTGTCTTCAGTGTGCTTCACATGCTTTCTTTCACGATTGCCTGCCCTTGGCAATGCAATTACTGACTCTTGAGTCCTTTATCAGCAAATCCGGAAATTCCGACAATTGGCACCCTGCGTAGACTGCTTCATGTGTTCCCATTAGTCCACCATGGGTTAGGAAAACTCGAACATTTGGCTAACCTGAAAGACGTTTGAAAACACATTTTGCTGTCAAAACTAGAAGGTTTAACGCCACTAATGCCGAAGCACACCTAGACACGATCCTGAGCTATTTAGTTCCCTCTCCTGTCCTCACAGGGTCATCGTTCACCCATCTCTCAGTTTTCAAAGAGGGCGTTTAAAAGACGTATTCCTACCAAAATTTTCTACACATTCCTTGTAATTCATTCTAATCACCTACCCAGCTCTTCTACGTAAGCCCCCTAAATACAAATATCCAAACAATAAGAAGTTTCCTGTATAAATCATGAAATCTTTCTTTGTATAATCCTGAATCGTTTACTTCAGGCTCCTCAGGTTCAAATATTTTCCGGAAACAATGGTTTTCGAACACTTATAATTTATTTTTCCTCTCATAGTACCACAGAGCCCATCACAGCCACTCTAAACAAACGAGAAAATATAAAAGTATAATTTTTTGTATAATCTCGATTTACAGTTTTCTGAAATGTGGACTGAATAATGCATTTTCGAGGTAATTAATAGAAATAATTTCGGGCATTTATTCATCTCTTATTTTTATGTTGAACGTCATTTCTACCTGTTCATCGTGTGCCTTCGAATGTTCTCAAATTATTTATTACAGTTATAACTGACTGTGATCTCTTTCCGGTTTCGTTTCGTGTTGTATTTAAAACGATTCATTATACATAGCCAATAGGCAAGTTCTTCAACGTGCTGCAGAACGAAATCCAGACAATCTGCGACATGTCACCCTTTGGCTCATGCAGTGCGGTACCTGCGTAGAACTTCTATGACTTCCAGTTCTTGCCGCAGACCTAAAATATGTAGCCATTTGCTTGTGATGATAAGAAGTCTAACACATTTTCATGTGTAAGGCGTAAGCGTGACTGATAACTGTGGGTTCTAGACTTGATGACTGGATCTATTGGACGTCTCTATTACAATTCCAGTTGATGATAACAGTTCATACATTGAACTCCGCCTTGATAACGAATCTCTCACTGTATTTCTTCTGGGTGAAGGTGAAGGTGAAGGTGAAGGCGAAGGTAAAGCTCTCTCTGCTACAGGCCGTGGAGGCCCGTAAGGTTGTGAGATGTCAAGGCTCCCACATTTTCTAGAGTGTCGGCTCACAGATGGTGGTGTGGTTGTCAGACTTACGCGCCGGCCACCCTTTTTTTTCCCTTGGCACTACAGCCCCAGTGGGCCTGGGCCTACCTCCATGAACTTCTCCGTTCACTTCGGTTTTTCTAGATCTTACACATGCGGTAGGACCCCTTGGGCGGGTGATCAGCTCGTCGCAAGGCCTCTACCTGTAGACAAACTCAGAAAAACGCACACAAACATCCATGCCGTGAGTGGGATTCGAACCCACGATCCCGGCTTCCGAGAGAGCGAAGACAGTGCATGCCTTAGACCGCTCGGCTACCGTGACCGGCCGGCCACCCTTTACCCCAAGGAAGATTCCTGGTGCCCATTTCTGTTAGAGGCTGAGCCGACCTCAGGCTCATGGTGCGGCTGGAAGGATTAGGTCAATTTAAAAGTACAATAACTTCTTGGGGAATCGAAACCTTGTCCTGGCTACCTGCAGGCACTGGTTACTCGCTCGCCAATTTTTCTACCCAGAAGATGGAGGCGATACGTTCTTCCGAAACGTCGGTTTACACTAGATCTACACGGCGCCACATCCCAGAAGACGGCTTTCTTCTTACACTAAGAAATATCTCAGGCTTGCATACAGGCAATGTTTCTCCTATAATCAGCGACCCTAGGCTACAATAGATAACTCCGTCTTTGGCCTCATCTAAATAAATTTCAATATCCCGTTAACAGATAAGATGAATTATGATAAACGTTGAAAGTATAGCTTAAATGTGTACATAGCCTATAATGTCAAGCATTATATTACACTCTCGATATGGTAAAGGTCAAATGTGACCTCATAAATAATTGCGTAATAAGTAAGTATGTAGGTTCCTTCTTCAGTATGTCAAGTGCCACTGTCAGTTTGCGCTTGTAGCGTAATTTGAATTCTCCGTTAGCAGCCCAGACTGCGTCACAACGAACGTTAGGATGAGTGAAAAACTGCGGACGATACATACGGAAATGGTCGTGATGCTGCCCAAGAATTCTCGTTGAGGGAATGAGGGAAGGCACAAAACTTCTGTCAGGATATCCAGTCTTCGGGTCGGCATATGAAGCCCGGACCTCTGGAATTCGCATAAGGCGTGCTTTCCGCTCAACTACGGTGGTCAGTACTATTGTTAGAGAATCTAGAGATTAATTGCCCTTTGTACCCAGCTCATTTTTCAACCATACCTTGAACCAGTTTTATTCAATCCATGAACAGACACCCTGTTATTAATATAAATATTATTACCCCCCTTTTTACATTTACGTGCAAGTGGTGTCTTTCCTCAATGTACGTTCATTTTGTGCAGTTTTATCATAACCACTAGGAGCTCTGCATGAATGCCTGTACTTCTTCCGTTAATGAATAGCCTTAACAGTAGGAAATATGTGTTAGGAGGAGCGTATTTTACTGTTAAAACGGGAAATTCTGTCCGCGATATGATCTTCACTCTTCATATACATATGACATGTCAGAAAATAGTAAATGAACACTGTATACAAGACAACGGTGAACCTGTTGAAATATTCATTTATAAATGCTGCAATTCTGTTTCGAATTTTGCAAAATGGATACTAACCGTTGTGTAGACAACTGAAAATATTGGATTTTTGTTTCATTCTTGTAAAAAATCTCTCAAATACCTCAAAGCAGAAGTTTTTAAACATCTCCCCACAAACCTGCTTCAGCTGAAGAATGTTATTCGGCAGGAAGTAGCCCAAAGTTCGGTACACATGTTGGAACGTGCAGAGGGGAACTTCAGAAAACGATTGCATCAGTGCATAGAGAACGGTGGCCACCACCTTCAAGATATTTTGTTTAAAACTACATTATTTAAAACTTTAAAGTATGTTCTTTCATTAGTTAAACATAAATTTTGTCTATCAGAATAATTTTTATTTTAATCGCCTTCAAAAAAGGAAGTTTCTGCGCCCCACCCTGTAATTTCATGTAACACTGTAGATTTCATGTTTTAGACCTTCTTAAAGCATGTTATGTGTCACAATATTGATTGCATTACATTTCCTTATACAAGTATTGTTTCGGATTGAATTGGAAGGGTTTTTCTTCTTTACATACGAACAGCTTTTCGTAATATTGTTTCAAATCTTCCTCCGAGATCAGATCAATCCATGCTTCATCAGTAGTTTCTCTTTTCACGTTCTATTTCTATTCGAGTCTCCTAACAAACTGATCTCAGATATTCCTAGTAACTCTACTGGATAACTTCCCTGCTATGACATGTTTTTGTTTGTAATCAGTATAGTCATGTTTCTTTCTTCCATCCAGTCATCTTACGTAGGTCTCCTCCTTGCTCTTTATAGCTTCTTAAAATATTTCATTCCAGGTTTTTAATTTTCTTGCTTCTCGTTTACTTTTAATTGTAGCAGCCCCATAACTGTTGCAGTTATCCTGAATTTCATTAAGTCGCAATCCGTATTTATGTACCCTTTTCCACCTTTAAGATAATTATCGAACCTTATTTTTTACTTATATTTGATTCATCGAGTAAGTGAATTTTAAAATTCTGACCTTTTGCTGACTCTGCTATCTGTGATTTCCTTGCATATCTCTTACGTATTCTTATGTTAGAACATGGCATGTACTGATCCGTGTCAGTTCCAGCTCCAACATGGCTTCTCGTGACTAAGACATACACGTAGAATTATACTTTTTTCGTTTACTATTATAAATCAACGGTGGACCTATTCTCTGTCAATCAAGGTATACAGTGAGTTGTCTGGGCAGTACAGTGTCCTGGAATATGTTTATTCTTGGTATTTAGTAAATGTTTGTAGACGGTACATCCCTTGTATTTGGCAGGATGACTGCACAAGTAGCTGGCGTATGTTCACGCAGTGCCCGTATTCCTGGAAGCGTGTACACTGAATTATGTCTCTCTTTTTCTTTGTTGGCTCTGCTTTTATTTTGGTGTTGTATAGAAATTGGCGATCATAGATTTCTTTAGAGTTATCGTTTGGCTCTATGTCAACGAAGACCAGTGATAGTGGTTCATTGGTTACTCTATGTTTTACATAGATGATATTCCTGACCTTGTGACCTTTATTGTTTAGTTCCTCTGCTGTTTCTTGAGGTGAGACAGAAGGATGTATGTCTCTTATAACAATCCTGTATGCTCTTTCTTGTTTTAGTTGATAGGTATGAAAAATATTTTTTTTTTTTTCACTGAGATGGCTGACAAGTTTCCTATATGTTTCTGGTTTATCAGGGAAAATTATAACTGTATTGTTAGATACTGTTTTCCTATGGTAGGTTTCTTTTGCAGTTACTAGAGCTAGGCTGTCAGTCATTGCTCTATAATTTGCGACTCCGTGGATGTAAATTGGTGGCGTTTGGGTTCTTTGCATTGCTGCTGACTTGTTTCAGGAATGCTGTGATTATATGGGTTTACTTCCGTTTCTGTATTCTCTTCAACTTAAAGTTCTTGATATTGGTTACTTGTGTGCAGCCGGAAGTCTTTTGCATGCGGAGTTTTATTATTAGCACGTTTGCGTTTTTTAACGACTTGCCACGGATTATCATTGTTATGTTCTGCTGGATTCGCTTCCAGTTCTTCGTCTCCACTTAGTGGTACATATGCAATGGATGTTATAAGGATTTACTAAGTTTTATCCTACGAATGTTAGAGAATTGTTGCATATTGTGTTCTGGATATTATAGTTATACGCTGCCGGTTGATTTGCCGGCAGTGAATTATTTACTAGCACTGGAAATTGTTGATTATATAACGTGTACTGCATTTGCCTACCTGTTGTCGATTGCTGTAGTTGATGGAGGTGCCTTTGCAAATTATGTTGGTATCCCGTTTGGTAGTTTTGTATGTTTAGTTGAGGATGGCTCATGTCAT